TCATAATCATGTGGATGGATCGGCCGAGATTTCTGTTTGAATGGGGTCTCGTCTTTTAAGTTGATGTGATGTCTTATCTGTTGTGTATGACCAAAATCAAGATCGTGGTGCGAAAACACATCGGAGTAAGTGTTAAGTTTGTTGGTGATCCTCCCTTTCCATTCTTCAGACAAGGGCGAAGTACCGAAGTCAAAACTGAGAGGAGGGTTTGAAGGTGAAGTCTGTTGCTGCGAACTACACGCCGCAAGTACTTTCTGATCACTTTTGTCAGGTTCTGGATATGGCATAACACGATCGGCTTTAACTAACTCAGCGATCACACAGTTAGTGGGTAATGTGATGTCATGGTTAGTTTCGTTTCTTAGTACAACAGGTACTTTGTATGGACCATGTGAAGGTAAGGAAATGAGGCAACAGTCTACAATTATACCCCCTGGTAGAGAACCATTGGTGGGTTGTTCAATGAGTGCATAAGGCTCATGCTTGTTTTGGCTGGGTTGCATAAACCCTTCTAGTAACAGTTTTTTATTTGCAGGGAGAACTTCTTGGGTTCTCCCTCGAAGCTTCACCACACCAACTCGTCCATCTTTGCTTTGTTTTTTTCTGACTGCTAAGGCTTTTAGCACGTGTTGGTACCCATAAGAGAGTGCCTTGGAATCAGGTAAGTTATTGGCAGACAATTGCTCATACAAAGGATCGAGTGTGTTTGTGCCAATGAGTAGTGGTGTATCAGAGTTTGAGCTTATATCCGGAACCACTAACGCAAGGGTAGGTAACTCAAGTCCAGACTGATCGAGCTCTTTTGGAAATGTGACACTTATCTCTATGTATCCTAAATAAGGAACTGCTTGACCGTTTGCGCCCTCGACTTCTAACAGATTACTGATGGGTTTAATTGAGAGGTCAGGTAAGTGTTCTTGGTAAAAAGAATTGGCAATGGTGGTTACCTGGGACCCTGAATCCAGTAAACAATTACATTCAACACTGTTAACTGAGACTGTAGCTGTGCATCGCCCACCCACTAATCTTTTGGGAAGTTTTGGCACTGAATGAGCATGAACTGGCTTGCAAAAAAGTCTCTCTGTCCTTTCCTTAGAGGGACTTGGTTCTACTTTAGCACCTATCTGTCCCACGATAGGAGCTTCTACCGGTTTAAAGGAGGAGACTGAGCAATTGGCTTTGACATCTCCCACTCGCGCTGCTTCTGTCTAAGAGCAAGTCTTTTAGTTGCAACTAGTGCTGGATTTGGCTCGTTGCTACAGCTAGAAGCTATGTGCCCATCTTCTCCGCACTTAAAACAGTATCCAGGCTTTGGTCTGGGCACCACTGCTGTTATCTGCTGAATCTGTTTGGGCTCATCTGGAATTTTAGTCCCCACACGGGGTTTTGACTCTTTTTGAGTTTTCTTTGCCTTTTTATCTGTGTTGTTAACCTTAAGCTGTGCAATTTGGCTCCTGAGCTCAGCGATTTGTTTGCGTAAGTCATCACAGTTATCATCTATTTCCAGTTCACAAGTGTTTTTACTCTGAGAGCATGTTGTTTGCACATTTGAATACACTCTAGTTCGTTGTGCCCCTAAGTGTTGTTTCATGCGTGCTGCTTTAGTAGCCTGTTTGTCTTCTTCAGTGCGCAGTTTGAGGAGAAGTGCTGTAAAATGAGGCGGGTTGTCTTTCTTTTGTTCGAGTTGCAGGTTTGAAATCAGCGAGCTGTCCCAACAGCCTCTGCAAAACTGCTTGAGCAGCTGCTGGTCGGCGTCACTGGAGGAAATTCCATTCCTCTGAATAACTAGGTTTAACAAGGTGTATAACCTCTGAAAGTAATCGGAAGGTTTTTCACCACTGTCCTGGTTTGTGTTTAAGAAGCGAGCAAAGAGCTCGTCGCTGTCTTCGACAGCTGCGTAAGCTGAATCGAGATGTTCAAGGTACGTTTCCGGGTCGGATTTTGGACTAAGAGCTTTAACGATGCTCGCTGCTGGGGCTGACAGACTCTCCACGATTCTTCGTACAATTTGGGACTTGGTGAGTGAAGGATCATTTATGCATAACACTACACTACTACGCCAAGTATCATAGTCAGTTTCAAAAGAAGGGTGTGGAACTCGCCCTGAGAACGGTTTTAGTCTGTATTGTGAAGTAGGCGGAGGGATAACCTCACTGCTTCTAACAATGTGTTCCACAATAACTCGCTGAACCTCAGGTGTGTTTAAAAGATTTGGTGGAATGCAAGGGTTTTGTTTTCCAGTCTCTGTAGGTGGACAATTGTCCTTTGAGTTGTTCATATAGTTAACTTCTGGTGTTAAAGGCAGGGAATATGTAACTTGGTCACTATGGAGCATTGGCTCTAGTTCAGTGACTGGTTCAGATGCATGGGTATCCCTTCCTAAAGATTCCCCAATTTTTGCCAGTTCCTCCATTAGAAGGTCTTTAAATGATTGATTGCTACGCGCAGCTATGTCCCTGAGCTCTGACAGATAGGCATCAGTGGCAGATGTGCTAGTTTCTAGACTGTACGCGCTGGCTAGGTCTTGAATATGGAAGAAAACATCTGGGTTCCTAGTACAAGGTTTATCATAGGGTAAACATTGTTTCTTTAATTCCTTAACAGTGGCTTCATGTTGAAACTCCACAATAATCTGATCACAGTTTGGTAACTTAATGCGCCTGTTAACTGGTCCGAATCCTTCCATAAACCCAAAGACTTCGTTATCAAGGTCTGTATCAGTTAACCCACTGATTAAAACAGCATTTGAAACTTTGACCTTTTCTGTTTTCACAACTTCCATTTTAAAACACTCAAAAGTACCAATAATGCCAAAATGGCAAACCACTGTGACCTCCAGGCACTCTTATGATGTCAGTCAATGGTTAGCTAAGGTAACAACTCTACAATTCTCCTGGCTGGCTCGCCAAGTTTTATGTAACCGGATTACAGGATACAATAAGATAATTAAAAGAAAAAATAAACAAATGGGCCAATAATTAGGTTCGGGGAGAATTGGAGGTTGTTTAAGAATGACTGGAGTCACGGGTATAGCATGAAACGGTTTATATACTAAATTTTAATAATAATGGGAAATATAACACATAAAGATAACACACAAAAACAGATGAAAACAATCGACAATAGTAAATTGGTCGGTATGAGATTTGATCATATGAGTCACAAGTCAGCCGGCGTCAAGTCAAATCCCCACGCTTGGGGTGAAAGTCAGAGTCCGGTGGTGCGATTTTTTCCTACCGCACTGTTGAGATTGTTCACAGAAGAGAGCAGTCTGCTCTTCAGTTACTTGAGATGTCCTGGTTCGTTCAGTGGTTAAGGCTCGCCATCTCCCTCGTCAGGAAGAAATCCAGTTCTCGTTCCAAGTGAGTGATCATAGGAGTCGGGATCAAACCCAAGGAAAAAAAAACCCAGCCTGTAAACAACAGGACTGTTAGCAAGTTGGCATCGACCCTTCTCGTCACATCACAGCATAAAGTCTTACAGACTTAAACAAATGCTTCACTCTATTGGCATAGCCAATCATGTTTGGGTTCACAGTTCAACTAACATAACATCAATTTGATTGTCTATTAAAATAATTCTCAGTAGCTCTGGAAATATAATTACATATGACAACAATTGTTCAGCTCAATAGGCTCAGTTAGATTCTATTGCTCTACACTATTCGACAAGAAATACATTCATGACAACAAGGATACATTTAGTTGTGTTTCTATACAGCATTGTGACACCTTGTATATCTGTAACACAATAAATAAATAAATAAATAAATAAATAAATAAATAAATAAATAAATAAATAAAATGTTCTATAACAAAATTCAACAAAATATAAATTCTGGTCCTTTGGTCCACCTTTGTAAAATAATTCCTCCCTAATCAGTTAGCTTTTATTTATTTTTATTTATCTATTTTTTTTTTTTATTATTAAATGTTTGGTTAAGGGACGCATTGCTAATTCTATGGCGTTAGCTATAACGCCCCTGAGGACCTTGTACATCTAGGCCGTACCACCATTAACTGGCGGTTTGAGCCGTTAACTCCTGGGAATCCCATATGCCGTACCGCCGTTAACTGGCGGTTTGAGCCGTTAACTCCTATATGCCCTACCACCGTTAACTGATAGTTTGAGATGTTAACTCCTGGGATCTAACGTCTAGCAGCCCACTGCTGTCACCTCGGTTGCTGTAATTAGCTTTTTGAATTTAATAATTTACTGAATTTAATCTCATTCACTCACCAACGCGCTCCAACGGTTCCCTCCTACAGAGGATTGGTTCACTCTGTCGTCTCCACACAAATCTATAAGAATGGAATTAATTTGATAAGATTTAAGTTTCCTTTTTTTTTAAGTTGCATCGTTAGCTTTTTCTCTTCTTTTTTCTTTACTCACCGCGTTGGTTCCAAGTTCCTAGCTCTTATTAGAAGGAGTCAAGTCCGCCTCTTCCTCTATCTATGCGGCACCCAAATCAGGGTTCTTCACGGCCTCGACCGTTGTTTTTTTTTTTTCTCTCTCTCTCTCTCTAACCGCTCAGTCTTTGCTTTCTGTATCTGCGTGCTGCACAGCCGTTTGTCTCTCCTCTCGCTCAGCTGCGTCGCACGGTTTTATTTCGCGGAGGCGGGACTTATTTCTCTCAGCCAATGAAATTTCAGATTCCCACCTGGACCAATAGTATACAGCTTTCCTCTTCTGTTTCTGTTAGTGATGTTCAAGATTCTTGTTTTAACCGATGTTTAATATTAAACTCGTTATTTTAGATATTCACCCTTCCAATAATTCATTATGAAATTATCTATTAGTTAATTAGATATCTATTAATTAGTATTGTTAATTTCCTTAATTTATATTTTATATTTTATCTAAATTGAGGATGGATCATATTAGTAAGCCAATTAGTTAATACCTCATTAAGGTTCTAGCTTCTGGGTTACATCAGCAGTGCCAGCTCTCAGGATGGTAGCTCATCAGGGATGTTTGTCTTCATGTTCCTGCATCATCAGAGCTTTTCTCTGACATCGTGATCTCTGCTCCCATGATCCTCCTGGAGTCGTCCTCTAAGCTGACCGAGACGTTTGACCAACCTGTCGCACCTGCCTCTGGCCACCGTTCAGGGTCTGCTGAAAGCTGTCCAGGTACAAAGACGGAGACGTTTGTAACGTGAAGCGATTTCATTTATCTGACTTGTGTTCTCTGGATCCCCAGCCCCTGCTCAAGGTCAGCATGTCTCTAAAAGACGCCTTAATTCTAGTGCTGCGCAAGGCCATGTTTTCCAGGTACTTTGCTTTCCTTAATGTAAAATATCTTTAAGCTGAACGTGTTTTATCAATTGAGATTTCTAATTCGGCTTTCCCTTTCTTCTATCAGCCAGCTGGATGGCAGGAAGTCTGCGGTGACGGGCTTTTTGCTGCTGCTGAAAAACTTCAAGGTTCTGGGCAGCTTGGCCTCCAGCCAGTGCAGCCAGGCCATCTCCTCCAGCCAGGTGCGGATCAAGCTTACCTCTACACACACACACACACACACACACACACACACACACACCACACACACACACACACACACACACACACACACACACACACACACACACACACACAGAGAGAGAGAGAGAGAAAAAAACTACAATCTTTGTAGGTCCAAGTGGATGTTCATTCTCGCTTCAACTCCGCTGCCAATGAAGCCTTCTGCCTAGAGATCCTCAGCAGCCTCCGCCGCTGCCTTGGCCAACAGGCGGATGTACGCCTCATGCTCTACGAGGTCAGAGATCATTCTTCTTAAAAGCCAAGCCACGTCTGTTAATCTGATAAAAGCGGGGACTTAATAAGGAAGCAAATTCTTTTCTCCTGCAGGGTTTCTATGACGTTCTTCGTCGCAACTCCCAACTGGCAAGCTCCATCATGCAGACGCTCCTCTCACAGGTTTGTGTATGTGCGTGCGTGTGTGTGTGTGTGTGTGTGTGTGGTTTGCATTCAGAGCTGCATGTGATCTCTGCATCTGTAGCTGAGGCGGTACTATGAGCCGGAGCAGGACCTGCTGCCCCCGGTGAAACTGGAGCCGTGCATCACAACTCATGGGGACCAGATCTTCCTCCAGGAGCCGCTGGTACACCCATCTGTTCTATAAAACCTTTGCAGGTGTGCTTTGCCTTTTTTAAAATCTTGTTTGTTCTGTTTCAGGCACATCTGGTGAGCTGCACCGTGCACTGCCTGCTGTGGCTGCAGAACATGCACACGGCCACCACTGATGACAGCGGCGATGATGATGATGATGAAGAGGAGGAGGGATATCGGTCTGACCTGCAGGCCATCTTGGAAAGCACAACACGACGTATGCTCAAGAGCGAGCTGGAGGACTTTGAACTGGTAGGGAGCAAATAAACACTAAAGTTAACCCCTGCGCCCCCTTGTGGTTGAACCTGGTATATGCATGAGTTTCCATGTGTTCATTCTTGTTGAAAAGTGCTCAAATAATCATTTTTTAATATGTTTTGCTGTAATTATGAATTTTAAAAGGATGCAGTGTCTTGTGTTTAATTTTTATCATTTTTAAATCTGTGAACATTTCAGGACAAGTCTGCAGAGTTTTCTTTGGCATCCAGCGTTGGAGTGAAGAATAACATCTACGCCGTGCTAGTGATGGGAGTATATGAAGTTCTGATGGAGTACAACTTCATCAAAGCCAACTACAAGTAAAAAAAACTTGTATTTTTGATGCATTTTTGTGTTCTTAAATCCTGATCAGCTTGTCCGTTTGGTTTTGCAGTAAAAGTCACCTAGAGGGGGTTACGGAGCTGTTCAGCCGCTACCACAAACTGTCTGAGATCTTGAGGGAGAAATCCGGAAAATCCCGAACGTCCTCCAACAAAACGCCCCGCAGTTTACTCTCCATGGGCTTTGCATCGACTCTCATCACCGCGATTTTCAGGTAAAATTTTTAGCTGCACAGTCTTTAAAGTTTTGTTTTATTTCCTGAAACTCTTTTTTGTTTTTCAGAGATAACGCTCAGAGCAGAGAAGAGGGTCTCTCAGTGCTTCGCTCAAATGGCGAGTTTGTGCGTTATGCTTTGAGCGTAGTCGTGCAGAAGATCCAGCAGCTGGAGGAAACCGGACACACGGACGGTCCAGACGGACAGAACGCAGACCGAGCTTTCCGCTTCCTCTGTGACATGACCAGGTTTAAAGACATCCTAAAGACTGCTCCTGTTCTTTCTTTAATCAGAGCTGTGCGTGACGTTTGATTGCTCCACCTGCAGTGTTGGGAGTAACGCCGTTTAAATATAACGGCGTTACTAACGGCGTTCTTTTTTAGGTAACGGAATAATCTAATTAATTACTTTTCCCACTGTTGTAACGCCGTTACCGTTACTGGGGACGGAAGGTTGTGCGTTACTATGCGCTTGTCGAACGTTGAGCAGCAGGGTGAGGCTTTCTGACCGCCACACTTCCGCTGCAGCCAGGAAGAGAGAGAGGTGTCGTAACGCACTTACAAACACAATGTTGATTGGCCGGGTGGGCGGAGACCCTCAGTGTTCTCACCGTCACCGCATGCTGTAGACCCAACAGAGCAGCGATGGGAATAACGCCGTTTAAAATACCTACGTTAATAAAATAATATTTATTTCAGTAACGAGCAAACTAATTAATTACCGTCTTCTTTTAACAAAACATTCGTTTCTGTTACTGATAAGGAAATGCGTGCGTTAAGCAGCGCGGTGTGTTGAAGCTGTCATCAGCTGATCAGGAGCTAAAGAGGTAGATGTTTTCATCCAAGCGCAGCACGGCCCGTGAAGAACGAGGAAGACGTGAAGAATATCTACGGCTGCAGACCCGCAGATTCGTTGCTGCAGGTGGGAATCTGCAGCAGCGAATCTGCGGGTCTGCAGCCGTGCCCTTCTTAGCGTGACAGCGGACGTCCCGAAGGTCCGCTCACCTGTTCACCGCTCAGACGTCCTGATCTTCTACCCTCCTAGATAATCCAGCTGTAACCTGTTTCTGATCATGTCTTTAGTCCCGCTGTAACACTGATGCATCAGTCTCAGACGGCATGGAGCTCAGGTGTTATTAGAACTACCTGCGTGTGTTTACCACCCAGCTTCAGCTCTTCTGTGGTTGGGTCTGACCCAGGTTGTGCCTCTTCTAGTGTCATTTTAAAGGATTTTAATTATTTATTTAACCATTACTAGATTACCAGCAACAGAAACGCTACTAAAACACACAATTATGTGAAGCTGGAAAAATTAGAATACTGTGCAAAATTACATTTATTTCTGTAATTTAACTAGACTGAGAGACCATTTAAAGGCTCGGGAACCTTTACAGGTGTTTCTATTTGCAATTTTAAATTTTAGCTGATTGGGGTCTTGTTAAATATCACACAGTGACCTTTTAATAGTCTAGATAAGTGTAATGCTCCTATTAGTAGTTCCTCCTGTTAAGTGCTTATTTATTTAAATTATTCAGGTTTATAAAAACCATTTGGACATACATTTTATTATGTTCCAGTCATTAGTCATTTATATTTCACTATTGTAGTAATTATTGCATGCTTTAATGAAAAAAGTAACTAAGTAGTTATTTTTCTTGGTAATTAGATACTTTTATAATCTTGTAACTCAGTTAGTAACTGAGTTACTTTTTTGACAAAGTAATCAGTAACTATAACTAATTACTTTTTTAAAGTAACGTTCCCAACACTGTCCACCAGGGTGCTGATGTGGCGTTACACCAACATCCCCAGCGTGGTGGAGGAGGCGGGAAGGAAGGAGAGGCGCTGCAGTCTGTCCCAACTCTGTTTAGAGGGTCTGCTCCGGATCTTCAACGCCTGCCAGCAGCGCTTCCCAGACAAGATGACGCAGCTCCTTTCTACCATGGGTCAGACAGCAAAAGCATCACATCATGCCTTTCAACTAAACAAACCGGTTTCACCCAGTTTTGTGTTTGTCGCAGAAGCTGCAGAGGACGACGCGGAGCAAGAAGACGCCAGCGAGGTGAACTACTTTTACATCCGACAGTTTCAGGTAAAAAAAAAAAAACGTGAAGAATTATTTTTGTCTTTTCAACTGAATTCTGCTGCTGCAAGCTGAAAAGATTCCTGTCACCAGAGGGCGCTGTTCACCCAGTTAAGTGGAAGCGAGGAGGACTTTAACAGCAGAGAAGCTCAGCTGCTGGTCAGCATCTTGGCTGTACTCTCACGCCAGCTGCAGCCCACCTCCAAACAGGTAAAGTTCACGCTCACCTGGACTCCATCGGGATAAATAGACATTTTCTTCTAAACTGCTCGCTTTAAACCACCAGTTTGTTCAGATGATCACCTGGACCGTGAAAATCTGCAAGGAGACTAGTTTTGGTGAGAGATAATCCACTTAGTTTGCTTTAAGAGGCACAAAGTGTTTCCTGAGCTGTTTGTCTTCCTCTTTTTAGAGGATCCCACCTTCTCTAAGGGCCTTCTCTCACTTCTCTTCAGTCTGCATGTTCTCTACAAGAGTCCTGCAGGTCTGCTGCTGGAGCTCTGCCAGGACATCCACAGCCAGCTGGGAGACATCGATCAGGTGCGGGGACTTTATCTCCACCTACCGCTACATCCTTCCATCAGAACGCAGCTGTGTTTAAATCATCGCATTCATGCATCTTTCTCTAAACTCAGGACATGGAGGTGGAAAAGCAGGCTCATTTTGCCGTCGTCAACATGAAAACAGCTACGACGGCAGCAGTCGGTCTTTTGATTTGCTCTAAAATTACAAATTTGAGTGCATCTGCAGTGCATCCTCACCTTCCTCTGTGTTGTTTCCTAACAGCTGCTGGTCCTGTCTCAAGTTGACAAAGTCCTCGATGAAGTGGACTGGCTTATTGCCAGGAGGAAAGGTCACACGGCATCTGATAAGTCTGGATCTGGTAAGGTTTTTGTGAGCAGGGATGCATCAGAGCGTTCTGACCAGTACCTACACAGTAGCTGCTTCTCTAATGATTGCCTCCCTATAAGATTATTTCATCGTGTTTATTTCTCAATTCTAATTTTTGCTTATTTGCACCAAGTACCGCAGCAATTTCCTACTGTCGTGGTTTCTGGCACATACGTCAATAAAACACTTCTGATTCTGAGCGTTAGTTGGTGTTGAAACATCTTTGATGTGCAGCTGAGGCGTCCCAGGCTGCAGGGCAGCAGGACCCAGCAGAGAAAGCCGTGACGCTGCAGCTGGGGAGCGTCCTGACGGCGCTAAATGAGCTGGTCCAGACGGCCCTTCTGCCTGGAACCTGCACCATCACGCTGCTGAGGGAGCTGAGCCGTACCTACACCACCCTCACCACTCTGGTTAAATACGTGTGTATCCGTCTGGTCGTTAAGCTCCGTGAAAAGTCGTTTTTTTTTTATTATTTGTAACATTTTCCTTTCTCAGTACATCCAGGTGTGCTCCAACCAGCCTGGGGCGCTACCAGCTCGATTTGAGAAGCTGGTAGGTCTTATGAAGTCTGTTTTTAGCTTTTTTTTTTAATTAATTCTATGCTAATTTATTGTTTATTCTATCTTCTGTGCAGGTTAAATTATCTGGCTCCCATCTAACCCCTCAGTGCTACTCCTTCATCACATACGCACAGGTACAGGCTCTGGTCCAGTCCTGTTAGACACAACCGAGGGGCGATTACGGCTTTTTAAGGCTTTTTGTTTTTATTCAGAGTGGAGAAATAGGTGGAGGTTCCAATGAGAAGAAGAAAAAGAAAAGAAATGAAGCGAACCCAGCCGCCTCGGTGAGAACTTAACTTTGGTTTTAGCTTTTTATTGAAAAATCTGCACACTCAAGCAAATCAGCGCCGCACCGTCGTTCTCCTGCTTTCCGTAGGCGAAGCTCCTGCGTGAGACGAAGGCCATCCCGAACTTGATTTTCAGCATCGAGCAGTACGAAAAGTACCTCATCATGCTCTCCAAGAAATCAAAGGTGTGTGAGCTGCGTTACATTCAAGGATGAACTGAATATTACAAGAATATCTAATAATAATTCAAACGAGAGAAAAGACTTGTTATCATTTATAGGATTCAGTCAGCCTTTTCCATGTTGGCTCCTTTTATTTTCCAGGTGAACCTGATGCAGTACATGAAGCTGAGCACCTCCAGAGATTTCCGCATCAACGCTGCGACCCTGGATGCCGCCCTGCAGGAGCAGGAGGACGCTCCGGAGGTGGGTGTGAGCTGCCATCACCACAGTATCTCAGGATTTCCTCTCTTCCACTCGCTGACCTACTCCGGGTGCTTTTAGTCAAACATCTTCAGAGATGCTGTAGATGATCGCTGGGATAACTTCCGGTTTGTTCCTCCGTGTTTTATCAGGCCGAAGCGTCCCAGGAGGAGACGCAGGAACCCAAACAGAAGAAGAGGAAACCGTGAGGCACAGCTGGCGACCGACGGACAAACCCATTATCTTGCTTTGCTCAGAGAGCCTTTGGTGATGTCGATGATCTGGTAAACGTCCAACGCCTCGCCTGCGGAAAGTTTAAACATCGTTTATCAACCTGTTCCACTTTATTCAGCAGGAAGTTTCTGTTTCACACTTTTTAGACGAGCTTTATTGTCCTGATTTCATCTGGATGTTGGGACTGTTGCTCAAAAACCAGTTTTAAGTTAAACTCTTATTCTAGTGGATCCAGATGTTCCTGGGATGACAACACTAACCTGGGAGAAGGAGCTGTGCTTTTCTAAAGATTTGGAAAAAGAATCCCAGAGATTAAAAACCCGGAGTGTCTGAATTGTTCTTTAGAGGGGCCGCATTTTCCTTGTTTTTGTGCAAACGAGCATTTTTTTGACTCCGGAATGAGACTTTAGTGCAATTTCTGAACTTTTTACTTAATGTAAGAAAAATTAAGATTTCTTTTTTTGCAATTAGATTAAATTTAAAGGTTATCTACTATAATAAATAGTTTTTGGATTAATAATTGTTCCAACTGGTTACAGGATTGTTCTTTCAACATTTGCAGGACTTTTGTCTCCTTTTTCTGTCCTTTTGTTGTATTTTGTCTAATAAACTCTATTTATTAGCAAGAAATCTCATTGCTTAAAACTCACCCGGTGGGTACCCGTATCTCCGTTCCAGACCCGTGGGGTTGGAGGGAGTCGCACAGTCCATGGTGACCTCCTTCCTCAGACACTGGTCCACATCCACCGCACTGAAGAACGCCACAGACTGCGGGAGGTCCTGCATGCCTAACGCGTGGGCGAACATGCACCTGCAAGAAAAAGCCGCCCTGATTTAACGGCCCATCATGGCGGCTGTAATGGGGAACATCAGCTGGAGGCTGACCTCGTGAGCAGGTTGGTGATCTGGAGAGCCAACGCCGCTCTGTAACGGTCCTCGCTTCGGACCAGGTACCGCACCTCATCGTGGATGCTGATGCAGAAGCGCCCATCGATGCTGTGCTCCTCGAAGAGCCACCTCATGGCCACCAGCATCAGATGCAGGTAGTCCACAGCGGAGCTCTGCACCGCCCAGTTCACCCTGCTGGTGATAAACTTCCATAAAAAAATAAAAACATCTTCAGCTTTCTGGACTTGGATGTGTCTATAATCTGGTTATGGGCTCGGCCTCACCTCGTCTCTGACCGCTCGGGGCTCCAGGGCTCTGCTGATCCTGCAGCCGAGGACCGGAGTGGCTGGCTGGGCCGAGTGGGCGATGCTCTCCAGCTTATTGAACATGTCTGACTCGGTACCTCCAGCCCAGACGCGTTTCCCAACAATATCCCACTTCCTTTGCCGGGAGCTGAGAAGAACACCGAATGAATGAAACGCTGAGGTGAATAAACGAGTCAGAACCCTGACAGGCTCGTTACCTTTGTGAGGCTAGTCTACTGATCCTCCTCACTTCCTCCAGGGAGACGCTTCCATCATCCTCTCTGTGCACATCTATGTCCAGCTCCCTGACCAGCCACTCGCCCTCCTCTGACAGACGATACCTAACAAAAACAGGGCTCAGCATGTCGCTGTGTCGCCTCAGAGGTAAAACTCCTCTGATCTTTACCTGCGTATTCCTTTAGTCAGGGCGTACATCTGCCTGGCCTTACTGGCAGCTTCTGTCTGATTCAGGCGGTGGTTGAACTGCATCAGCAGCCTCTCGGCGAACGGCTGCCCTGCACCGTAAATGCGTCCATAGTTAAACACCTTGGCATGCTCGCGGCTGATGCCCACAGCCTCGGCGGTTCGGCTGTGCAGGTCCGTGCCCTGGCTCTTCTTCCCCTGAAGGGTCATCCAGCCGAAAGCCGTGCAACCTGAGCCACGCACGGATGAAGTTAGACCGTCAATATTCACGCACCTTTTTAGAATAAAAGCTGATTTTTACCATGGATGCCTGCAAACTGAGCCTCTCCGAGAACCGCAGCGATCCACAGCTCCTGGGAGTCCACATCTGCTCCCACCAGGTGATATCCAGGTGGGACCTGTACCATGGCCTTCAGCTCACTTCCCACCCGGTCCCTCTGAGAGGGACACGGAAACCAGCTTCATAAACTTAATCCTTTAAACTCTCAGAGCGATTTGTGATGACTTACCCGAGCATTACTGGCAGTCAGCCATGTTGGCTCCACGGCCCGACGGGTCACCGTCCCTGCAGTGACTACCTGAGGCAATATGGCTCCATACTGGCCCTCTTCATCAAAGTCTTTGTGTCTTTGGGAAACAACAAACAGGTGTTTTTACTAACAGCGAAGGAAGCTCGGCTCAAACCGACGACCGACGTGCCGAACGGACCTGCTGACGTTCCGGGGAAGCTCTCCTTTCCGTAGCCACAAAACCATCTGAGAGCTAAAAACAAGAAAGAAGAAACTGAATATTTACACCCGACTGGGATCGGATCAACTGCCACAACCAGACCTTATACGCTTGTGGGCGTTCCTCCAGAAGGACATCATCTTGTTAATCTCCAGTGCCCGGGTAGCGTTGGTTCCACCCCTTCCTGCTCTCAGAGTGCCGTCCTCCATCTTGGCCAAGAAGTCTTTAGAAAAAGGACTCCCGACATTGTTGTGGTGGCCATCCTGTCGACGCAAAGCCTCAGTCAGACTTAGAATACAACTCCGAAGAACAACACGGTTTGGAGAGTTGAATAAAGTTAGCTCACCTTGTGAGGTAATTTGAAAAACCAGCAGCCTGGAATGTCGACGTCATCGTACGGGCCGACCCCATGGTGGTAGTGACAACAGTTCTCCTTGCTGGTAAGATGTGGATCTTGGGACTGATGGTAAAGGATACCATAGGAAAGGGTTAAATGAAGCGTATGTGTTTATCATAATCAGTTCTGCTCACCATTTTTATTTTTGTCCCATTTTTGACGCCATATTCATCTGGGAATCGTTCCAAAGAGCTCAACTCCTCCACCTTTAAACGATGTCAAATATAAATTTCCATCATAAACCTTATTTCAGAGCCCGACTTTGTGTCTTTTGGTGTTTTGTAAGAAAATGCACCTTTGCCCAGACGGTGGCGTTGGTCAACATGAGGTCATCTGAAGGACTGGAGTCCAGATACTCGGGCTGCTTCTTGCTGTTCTGCTCACAATACTCTCTGTAGACCCCCTCGATAGCTCTGAGGAACACAGCAAGGCTCGATCTCAAACCGTGATCACTAAAACAGAGTTTTTAACTAACAGACAACCAGGTACCCGTGTGGGCACACGGGCCCCGTGGTCTCCTCCTGTGATTTTAGATTATCTCTGCGTCCAGGCACCAGATACCCCCACCCGTGCTTTTCTGTGTAATGGAGGGGGAACCCGTCCCACGTCAGACCCATCAGCTTAGGCGTTAGTCTCATCTGGAGGCTGATGAGGCTGGCTCCAGGTGACCAGCTGTCCTCAGACATCTTCTCACACAGCTTACGATACCACCTGGAGCACAACGAAAGACAAACGTACACTTTATTAAAAGAAAATAAAAGGTGCATTACAATTAAAAATCTTACCGAGGATGTCCAGGCAGGTGTTGTCTTCTCTTAGGAAGCTGATTCGCTGTCTCCTTGAGTTTTTCAACCACGAGCCTGCTGGAACACGGGCCTTCCAGCTGCTCCTCAGACGGAGGCCCTGGATCTAAAACACACGACGCAGCTCCTTTTATTAAAATCCTTGATGTTTTCCCTATTAAGACATAAAGTCTGGATTTTTTTTTACCATCCTCCCAGTCTGGAAGAGGAGTGGAAGTTTGTGTTTCTGCTGCTTTTTGGGAGTTTTTCCTCTTTCTAACGGGTAACTTCTTCTGTTTAAACTCCTGAACATCCCACTCAAGATCCCAAAGCCAGGGGTCTTCTTTGTACCTTAGAAATAAATGCGTGTGCTATATCAATATCTTTCACATAATATTTCATCCCTTCAATAGCTAAATATATTCATCATCTCACCTGTCATCCTCCAAGAGCTGACATGCATCATCAGCAAGAGTCATCAGAGACTTCTTCATCTCTCCCTGGAGCTCGTCGTAAACATCCTGGGAGTCCTCCAGGTACCGGCCCCAGTTCTGATTAACGGGGAGGTAGCTAACACCCATCTCCAGCATCCCTGCTAATGTCACTGGATGAGGGCACCTTAAAAATAACAGAAAAATGTTATCTTTGCACGGATGTGTTCCCTTTTATCCGACGATGCTTTAAGACCCACCAACCTTTCCATGAAGAGGGGCAGCTGCTCTGTGAAGATCTGATGTGTGGCCTCAACATCCAAAGCGCAATACTGCATTAACTCCTGTAGGTGGCAGCAGACTGGTTTTGCACCACAGTTGCACAGGAAGAGCACATTTAATGTCATCGAACTCCTGACTTTTATAGACGTCTCAGACCTGGAAGTTGTTCCTGACATCGATCATGTTCCCCTTCACAAAGATCTCCCTGGCCTCTTTCTGCAGCGGAGGCCCTCCAACGTACAGGGCATGGACATCAGCCAGGTTGTTGATGCTGCTAATGTTCACCCAGTCCCAAGAGCCAATCTGCATGTTAAAAAAAGGCATAAAATGAATAAAACCTCTTTCAACTAAGTTGAGACATACGGATTAATGTGACACAAACCATGGGGCCCTTCCTATTCTGACCAGCTTTCTTGAGGTGATCCTTGACCTCCTGAAGACCTCGCTTTTTTCCCAGCTTGTTGGCCATCCACAGCGTGCGCTGGAACCCCGTTAGTCCAGAGATGGCCATGTGAAGGCTCATGGTGTCCATGAAGCGGACTTTTGAACCCTTGCAGCAAATTAAAAATGCAATTATTGTGGCCGGGATGGAAAACAAGATGAAAATCTTCAGTAACTAACCTTTAGAAGGTACTGCTCCTTTATGTAAGATCTGTCGAAACTGACGTTGTGGCCCACTATGAGCCTCTCCTTCCACTGCCCCCCTGGAGGGCGGGAAGAGTTGAAAGATGTTTCTAGTGGAATCAGGTCAGCAAGAGTCAGCTGGTTGGACCAGGAGTACCTCTCCTCAATCAGACGCTTACTGCACCAGGAGTACCTAACAAGCAACAGCAACGTCATCGCTTTATGTTTGCAGAGACCTGCTCACTTTGTGATTTGTGTTTCGTCTCACCAGCTGGTCGGAGACAAAGCCACTGCCAGTGTAGGACAATTTCCCTCTGACGTGCACACCTCCACATCAAAAACGAGGGCAGACTCATCTGGGAAATCAACTCTCTGACTCTCCCCGCCAGGCTCATAGCGCGTCCAGCCGACCTCCCAGCTCCATTCCTGAGGCATGGGTGGCAGCTCCGCCTGCAGCAGCTTGGTGGCGGCCTCAAGGTAGGGAAGGCTCTGCTTTTCAGCCAGGATGCGAAAGTGCTCATCGATGTTCTTGCCATACATCTGAGGAAGTTTAAGGTGCACATCAGGAAGAAGTGAGGTTTCCTTCCCCCACAGCTTGTGCTTCTCTAAATGCTTGATGCTGCGCTCCACATCTGCCGCTCTGTACTCCGGCACGACCCCATGGAAGATCTGCTCATGGAGATTTCTCGACAGCATCTGGATGTTAAGGGGGTTGATGCGGGTTTCTGTGGAGTCCTCGACCTGAAGCGAATGATGCTTGGCGGAATAGAAGGAGCTTGGACATCTCCATCGTAAAGAGAAAATGATCCTCTGGAGAGGGCAGCGAAACAAATGGAGCATCACCTCATGTGGACCTCTCCCAGAAGCTGGAAGAAAGACATGCACGAAATGAAATAAAACAACTTTTGTAGCTTTTATCATGAGGAGAAACAAGACTAGAAACATAGCCTCGTTTAGGCATCTCTCCTCAGTTTATCCCACGTTCAGCATCTCGCTTTAACTAAACTAAATGATAATCTGAACACTTTGTAAAACTTCATCACAGGTGGTGAACTACCAGACCTGGTGTGTGTGTTGACAAACACTCCCATCACACATGCGAATCGCTAGCAACTCAAAAAAACAATTACTAAGTTTCCAAGTACCTAATTTAACTAGTTAAACAGTGCCTTAACTGTTCACACACCTTCACTGACCAGTGCTTAGCATTAGCTTTAAAGAGAAACATATATAACAATTAAAATGTAGAATTAAAACTGGTAAGCTAGGTACCTTAGCATCGCTGCCCACGGAGTCCTGAGAAATGAAAACTTTAGCGCCCCCACGTGGTGTGGAGAATTCCACGTCTTTAAAATCGACAAAAATGTTGAATAAAAACTGAGATTTGAAAGAATGTGTGCTTATAGATCAGCTAAATCCAAATAAATGTTACACATTACACAAATAAAACTGTTACTAAAATGGATAAATATTATATGGAATTTTCCGTTCACTTGTAGGCCGCGTGGCCTAATGGATAAGGCGTCTGACTTCGGATCAGAAGATTGCAGGTTCGAGTCCTGCCGCGGTCGCTTTTGTTTAATTTAAAACAAGCTTCGCCCATCTTTGCCTTTCACAAAGTTCAGTGAACGAGATCGCATACCACTAGGTAAACTCTTGATTTTCTGGTTTTGGATATCATATTTCCCTCATAAACTTATTTTTGTGAGAAAACTAATTAAAGAGCATATAGAGCAAGTGAAAAAAATGAATAAATAGGATAAAGGGCAGGCATTAGAAAAATTGAGAGTGTATCTTCATTCAAAAAACATTTTCACAATTATTACGTATGTTAAAAAGTGCAAAAAATATTTTTCAGGTCAGGTGACTTTGCTGAATAATCAAGCACAAAAACACCTCGGTCATTTGATCAAGCATCTGGTATTTTAGGACAGTGGTTCTCAATCTAGGGTCCATGACTCCCCCAAAGGGGTCCCCACAAGATTGTGTGTGCTGAGTTTGTTGTGAGGGTTACCAATATTATATTTATACAAATTACATTTATAAAATGTAGATAACACACAATCAAAATTATATGTAAAATACATAACTCTGTATGTTTGTATAAGGTTTGTCATTATTAGCATTTAATTGTGTGCATGTGCATGTTGGGGTTGTAGCTCCTGGCTTGTCTTGGACACATGACTTCCATCATGGGGAAAGAAGTGGAGGTGGGTGAGGAATACAAATACCTTGGAGTTCACCTGGACAACAGACTGGACTGGAGAAAGAACAGCCAAGCCGTTTACAAGAAGGGACACAGCAGACTGCACTTCTTGAGGACGCTTAGGTCCTTCAATGTCTGTAGCAAGATGCTGCAGATCTTCTACAAGTCTGTTGTTGAGAGTGTAATCTCTTCAGCCATCGTCTGTTGGGGTAGCAGCATCAGAAGCAGGGACCAGGAAAGGCTCAACAGCCTAATAAAAAAGGCTGGTTCTGTTCTGGGGATGACTGTGGAATCACTGGAGGAGATAATGCAAACAAGTACTCTCCAGAGAATCAAGAAAATGATGGACAACCCTGAGCATTCTCTTCACAAGACTGACCGGCAACGGAAGAGTGTCTTCAGTCAGAGGCTTCTTCAGTTTCGCTGCAACACTGACCGCTACTGGAGATCCTTCCTGCCAACAGCCATTGTAATATACAATAACTCTTTGATGACTTGATTATTATTATTATTCTGAGCTACTACAGCAATCAATTTCCCTCTGGGATTAAAAAAGTGTTTTTGAATTGAACTGAATTGAATGAAAGGAGGTCCTAGTGAAAAAAGGTTGGGATCAGAACCACTGTTTGAATGTGTGTGTGAAAGTGTGTGTGAATGCATGACTGTGTAAAGCACCTTGGGGGGGTCTATGACTCTAGAAGGTGCTATATCAAGTACAGGCCATTTACCATTTACTGTCATAGGCGGTGTGGGCAGGTGCCAAGTTCTAAAGCAAATCTCCATGAAACTCATCGACAGAAGGGAGCATGAAACGTCCTGGATGGCGGTGTTGCTGACAGAGTTTTGATTTTGAAATGAACTTTTTCACAATATTCACATTTTTAGATGAATTGTGTCAGTCTATCGCAGTTACTGTCCTTGTAATGTTTCCCACTCAGCTGTGTCATGTGTCTCAGACAAAAGGTAAAGAGCTGCTGCAGCTCCAGAATTTATTTAACACGTGTTCCACATGTTGGTTCAATTGTAAAGTCAGCAAAACTTATCGCTGCTTAGCAACTATTTGCATTTTAATTGACCCTAAAACGACTTAGAAATTATGTTGGGTAATGCTTTGCAGCATTTTATATCACTATGTTTGATGAAAAACTCAATTGCAACTTCTTAGCATCTTATTTTGAAGTTGAAATTATTTTAAAATATAACTATTATTGTTAATTTAAAACGCTTTTGGAGAAAAGAAAAGCAGATTTGAACATCTTGCATACATTTTAACCTGCAGCGTTGGAGCGAACTGTTCGCAAGATTCACATCTCAAAGATCGTTTATTTATGAAAGAAGAGTCACTACTTATTCCTAACTGGAAAGCCGAATTCCAAAAGCACATTTAATATGTTGAAACCACATAAAATAGAAACCTGTCATTAGAAACCAAAGAATTACATTATCTTAATAACAATTGCTTGAGTTTAATTTTAGCATTTGTTTAAAAACAATCATAAGCTCAAAAATATTTGCAGATACCTGTTTATTATTACCATCTAGGCAATTTTTCATTAATTTACTCACGTGGTAAAATACATCATAGTCGAATCATTTGTAAACTCTGAAATTTATGCACTTAATTAAAATTTTCATTTTGGGAAAAAAAAGATTAGGCTTTGTTAGACTTTTTGACCTTTTCCAACATGATGCGCTCATCATGATACATAATAAATATGTTTCAGTTTTTTAAATGTTTATTTTCTTTTGTTGTGTTTATTTTTAAAACTGGTTATTAATTTACTCGTTCAATTATCTGTAATAGTCTAATCAAATGGAAAAAACTGGTTAAATCAGTTCGTAGTGAGACTTCTTAATATGTTACTGATCTTTGGCTCCGGTGAGCTCTGTGATTGGTCCATTCGCGGCCACGGTCTACTCTGACGTCGACAAAGGGGGGAGTCGGTTGTCAGACAGTAGAAGAAGAGCTCAGGCTGGAGGAGACACAGAAGCTGGAGGATTGAGGATGGAGTCAGGTCAGAACCAGAGCGCTCTCGTGTCCACAAGGACCAGAGTCACGCGCAGAAAATACGAATACGTTAAAAACCTTATGGAAAATTGGTCTCCGCGTGAAGACGAGGACATTTACCTCCAGAGTTTCCCGAACAGGTAAGGTCTGGAAATGGATCATAACCGCTTTCGCATCGTTATTAGATTTCACCTGAATTTAAAATTTGTCCAAATAGTTTAGAAATACCGCTGGTGAAGGTTTAGCTTAGATAATCATTTATATTTTACACAAGTCGACATGGTATTTAATGAACGGATGCGCCCTTTTCTTTCATCAAATAGAAAATACTAGAGATTGTGTCAATTAAAAAGACCTTAGATTTTAAATAATCACAATAATAAACATTTATTTCCTTTTTCTTTTATTATATTAACGAACACATTGTTTTTTTGTAACTATTTAGTGCATTAGTCCCTGTGGGGTGAGAAAAATCGAGTTCTAGAAGAAATAGGCCAATCACAAGTCTCATTAAAAGTGAGAATTATTTTGCCCTCAAGAGCCCCAAAGAGCAAATGAATGTATCACAAATTTTAAAATAATTTTATTTAGGATTATCTTTAAATCTTAGATTATTAATCTTCCTTTCTGACAGGTTTTGTCACTAAATCAGCTTTAGGAGCAGTTTTCTCCTGCATGTTTTTAACCTTTAACCTGCATGTTAATGTCTATATTAGAGATACTTTTAAGCAAATAATAAAACAGTGTTTTGGCTGATCAGTTTGAAAATATAGATGTTGACTAAAAATTTAATGCAAGTCATGCAAAAGGAAATTGTTGCACCTATGATGCATCAGAGCAACCGTTGTTACATTGAATGTAGATTCCACTCAGATTTTTTTTAATTGTTCAAGGAGTTTAAAATTGTGCACATTTGATCACATCTCCAGTGCTTTACGGTGCATGCACTAATTGTTGTAAATTAAGACATAAGTGATGTAAATTCATCATTTCTATCAGTGCAGCATTTCTGCATGAGACATGGATAAATGTAGATTATTAAAGCATCAACATGTCAGCAGGCCCTGCTGGAGTCATTGCAACAGAACAATAAATGCATTAAATCATTGTTAAATGAACACAAAACACATCAATTTCATTTGATTTTATGCATCTTTTGCTCTTCATAGTTATATTTATTTAGCTTTCACTATAAAAAAAGATGGTGAATAAATGTTTCAGGCCTTCTGTTTCCAGATCCCTCCAGCATCACATCGATCTGCAGCTGTGTGTGCGTGCGTGTGTGTGTGTGTGTGTGTGTGTGTCTCAGAGGGAGTCTGTTTCTGTCTTTGGTTATCTAGCTGTATGAGTTTTAAGTACCTGTCATAAAGCTAGATAACCGAAAGTAGAAATGACTTCCACTAATACCAGACAGAGGAGAGAGAGAGAGCAGATCCTCTGGTGGATTCTGGCAAAAACAGAAAGGTAAGAATAAAGTTTTCAGCTTTATTCCAAATGCATAACTGAACCCCAAAATAAATGCACACCTCTGGCAGACACGAATACAAAACCTCTGGATGTTCTTTACAGAATATTTCATCAAGGAAGTCTTATTCAAAAGAGTGGAATTGCTTTTCTCACTTTAGTTTTTGTAAACCTCTCCACTGCATCAAATATTTTTGCTTTTTTCATCTCAATATAAATTGATTCAAAGTTTTACCCCCATAAAACGACCTAATGGCATATTTTGAGCTTCTCACAAGGCAATTTTAGTTTTTATAAGTTAATTCAGGAATGAATAATTAATTTTCTGAATTGCAAATTTTATTTTAAAAGCGTTAAATGATTTGTGTCTGGTAAATTCTGATTATGTATTTATATTATTCCTGTTCTTTTTAAAATAATGAACTAAAGTTGAATGTTTGGTAACACTTTACAATAAGGGTCCCTTTATTGAGGTCAATAAGTGCATTATTAAGCATCAATAAACAATTAAATAACATATTAATAACTGCTTAACCATAATATGTAATGCATTATTAAGCAGACACCCCCTGACCCTTTGTCCCAACCTTGAGGACACTTAACAATAATGGCAATGTTAATAAAGGGGACCTTTATTAAACCTTTTTTTATTAATGCTTAATAATTTACTAAGTAATGTTAATAAAGGGACCCTTTGTTTAGTAATGTTTAATAATGTTTATTTTTATTTTTATTTATTTGGCAGACACTTTTATCCAAAGTGACATACAATTTTTTAACCTATAGGGCATGTTGTGATCTGTGGGGAGTACCAGGAGGAAACCCGCACATGCATGGGGAGAACATGCATGCAACTCCACGCAGATTGTTTGCAGCCAAGTTTCAAACTTGCAACCTTCTTGCTGCGAGGCAACAGTGCTAACTGAGCCAACATGCAGACCAACTTAATCAACTAAGTAACATTAATAAAGGGACTCTTGGTTTATTAATGCTTAATAATGTACTAAATAACGTTAATAAGAGTCATTTTGTTTATTAATGCTTAATAATGAACTAAGTAATGTTAATAAAGGGACCCTATGTTTATTAATGCTTAATAATGAACTAAGTAACATTAACAAAGAGACCCTTTGTTTATTAATGCTTAATAATGCACTAAGTTACATTAATAAAGAGACACTTTGTTTATTAATGCTTAATAATGGACTAAGTAACAATAATGAAGGGTCACTTTGTTTATTAATGCTTAATATAGAACTAAGTAACAATAATAATGGGTCACTTTGTTTATTAATGCTTAATAATGAACTAAGGAACATTAATAAAGGGTCACTTTGTTTACTAATGCTTAAAATGCACAAAGTAACATTAATGACTCTTATTGTAAAGTGTTACCAAATGTTTCATTTAAATATCCTTTATTGTTGTATTTCACAATGAAATTGATGAATCATCTTTCCTCTTAGGCGTTATAAAACAAAATATAACAAAACAGCAAATTAGCATGTAAATCCACTAAATTGAGTGTACTAGCCTGTATTCTGCAGTCTGATAGGGATAAAACTGTCATTTTTTGAAAATGCTTTTGGTCAAAATGATCTTTTAGGTTCGGCTCTAAACTGTTCTGCCTCAGGAATAATCTAACAGGCTCCTTCAGCGCTTTAAAACAATCTTTATATAATAAATTAATTAGAAAAGAAAACAGGTTTTGAGTTGTAACCTTGTTTGGATAAAAGATCTTTGTTAAACCCTCTAATAATGGAGCTGAAGAGCAGGAGGTTCTGGAGGCCTCTGGGAAACAATGGGGTTCGGGCTGTCCTGCACAACTCAGTACTTCAGCTCTGTGCGGCGGACGCCATTAAAGCCTAAAGAGCACAAAGTGAGATGAGTTTCCATTCAGTCCCTTAACTAGGCCACTGCTGCAGAGCTCTCTGTCGGCTCGGCCTAATTGCTTCAGATACAGGAGATGTGAAAAGTCTGTGGTCTACGTCTCCTTCCTCTGGTGTCAAGAGAACACCAGAGCGCCTCCCAACACACTGGAATCAAAACACTTGTGTGGGATTGGTCCAGAGCATCCCTGGTTGGTGCCCATCATGGTGGCGACTGCGACCAGGAGGAATTATGTGTAGTTCTAAAAGTTAGATTTTTTAGTTTAAAATCAGCTTTTTTGTTCTGCTTGCTTTAGTTTGCACCTGGGAAATCCTCAAAAGGGAAAACAAAGATGGAAGTGATGGAAAACCAGTTCCAGTGCAGTGATGTCATCTGCACCGCCAGCGGACCCCCCCCCCCCCCCCCCCCCCACACACACACACACACATGCAAGTACCTTCCCTGGATTCTCGGATTGTACGAGGAGCCATCTTGGGAGACGTTTTTGCTGCAGCGCTTAAAATGGCAGGGCTGGCACTAGAGGTGAGTAGCCATCATGGTTTCCTGTTGGGCACCAGTGATGGTGGTCAGGGCATATCTGTGTGTGTGTGTGGAGGGGGGGGGGTTAGTGTGAGTAATGGGGGATGGGGAAAGAAGTAGAAGAAGAGTTTCCCCATTTCCTCCCAGTCACACATGGTCTCTCGCGTTTCTTCCGCGCTCTGCTCCTGCTAATTAGCAGTTAAGGGGTGATGTGGAGGGGGTTGTGGGTGGTGTAGTTGGTGGTGGTGCATGGCGCTGGGCGGTGGGGGTGGTGGTGGGGGGCTGGGTAGCAACCAAAATTAATGAGCTGGCACTGGTTGAAGGAAAGCTGCCATCCTCTCTTGTCTGGTGCTTCTTTATTCCCTGAGGCGCTCCAATCGGATGAACCTCATTGGTTCATTCTGCAAAATGCTTTTCATCATTATTTAAAACCCTCTGATATAAATTTATAGAATAAAAGGAGATTATTTCCCCAAGATAAACTTGATTAAATACAGCATTTTATCAATTTTATTCATTTTTTTCTATCCAAAATGCAAATTTTTTGTGCAATAATATTATGTCATCGTTCATTCTTGAGTACAGCATGCAGCTGCATGTGTGCATGCATCAGATACTTGAAAATGTGTGTCATGGACCAAAAGTGAAACGTTGCTGCAGACAGAAAAACCCGGACGATTTCCTGTCTCTCTCTGGTGTTTGTTCTCCGCCTTTGAAGTGAATGACATCTCCCTACACTGTAATTTTCTCATGACAATGGTGTGAAACTTTATTCAAAATGCAGGCTGCAAATGTCACACATCACCAAAGAAAACAAATCACATCCCTCCCAAAATCAGACTAATGTTACAGCTCTGATTCTGCCAGTTTGTGCACAAACGCTCACAGAGAACCTTTGTTTTGTTTTTTTGGCTTCCGAGTCTCGCTGCGACCTGGGGCAGAGAAACGAGACACGTGAGTGTGTGTGTGTGTGTGTGTTTCTGGGGCCAACATGTGCAGCTGCAGAGCTCGTGTGTTAATGAACAGCGTCGTGCATTTTCGCATTATCATTCAGCACCGGACTCTCTCACTCTTTTCCCTCTCAATAGCTGCTGCCCGCCTGACCCCCCCCCCCCCCCCCCCCCCCACCTTTCCCACCCATTCCCTTCCCAAAAGCCTGGCTTCCACCATTGTGGGAACTGGTGGTGAGGTGGACTTGGGGCTGGGGGGCAGGGTGGGAAAGACCATCCAGACTAGACATGAGCAGATGCCTGAGACATTAGACTGTCGTGCGGATCACCAGGGTCGGGCGAGCTGCTGAGTTTTAATGTGCGGGCAATGTGTGTGTGTGTGTGTGGGGGGGGGGGGGTGTGTACTGTGGGCCCTGAGTGCCACCTGACTGTTCATTAGTCTATTCAGGCCACTCCGCAATGTCTGAAAAACATGAGATGCTGTGTTTTCTGCTAAATGAGAGGAATTTCCCAAGCATTAGGCGTACAATCAGACCTCGCATGCAAACAGAGGAATGTGCAACGATTGCACCAAGAATGCAACATATGTTAACACTAATCTTATTTATCCTAATAAAATAATTCATTGCTGTAAAATGACTGAGCCGAGATGGTAGAGAGCTGACTGATGTAACCTGCAGATAATGTTTATTAATGGGCCTCATACTGTACGCGTGTGCCTCTGTGAGACATGCAGCACGTGCAGGCCACATGTCAAAGCATCCTTTCCTCTCTTTATTCCTGTTAAAGACTCAGAGCGTCTTCATAATTGCATATGGGACTGCTCGACTGCAATGTGCAGCGCATTGCTGAGGGCAGATTTGAGAAAAGGCTCTTTTCTTGATGACTGAGGAGCAAAAAAGGCGTCTTATGAGGAAAGAGGTAAAGGTAAATGAGCTGAGTGTGTTGTGGAAACGAGGCGGCAGGCAGGTGCAGCACAATGGGCAGCCATGTTTGAGCCAAAACATGCTCTTGAAGTTAGCTCGTGTTAGCGTGTGTGCATGCTCAAACAATCTGCAGGAGCAAACATCTGGGCGTGAAGTAAAAGTGTGTGTGTGTGTAGCAGAAGAACAGTTTTCAGCTAAACCTGTGCATGCAAGACGAGCATTCGCATGCCGGACGCAAAAACCAGTGACACGCAGATATCTGTCTTCATTAAAGCTCAAGTAAATGCAGCATGTGGATGAAATCAGGCAGAAACGAGCTCCTCGTGGTTTAGATATTTAGTTTCACACAAAGAAAAACAGCTCTGCTTTAATCTGCTCTGCAACAAAAAGAATCTTCAATCAAGATGATCTGAAACCAGCGCGGCTGGAGAGCGAGGTCAGCGGCTGTTCACGTCCGGTCAGGAGGATTTAGTGTGTGAGCATCCCTGAATCTTCCCCCTTTCATCCTTCTCTCCCTCGACTACTTTCTTTCCTCCTCCTTACCTGTGTGGCTCATTGTTGCTTTTTTTTTTTGCCTTCGTGAAGGGAAATGATTATGTATGACACAATGAAGTGACAGAAGCTCGCTTGTGTGGCTGCAGGGGCATCGCCATAGTAGCCAGGGCTCGCCCCTAAGCTTGGATGGAGTCTGATTTGGGTCAAGCGAGGCTCATTGGGTCTCTGACGTGCATCTTTGATGGAGTCTAATCTAGGACGAGTATATTAGAGGAAGATGGAGATGTTCCTATAGCTTTTCAGATTACGTCTGCTGCAAGGGTGCAAATGAAAGAGCAGCAGAATTAGGCGACTGAGCCCTTAAGACAGCCGCTCTTTGTAATCATAACAGAGATGAGGGTGAAGAGAGTCACATCAAATCCTGCGTATGGCCTTACTTTGGTGCTTCTTTATTTTATAGCACAAGGTTTCATCTTAGGCCCGGTTCAGATAAGATTTCAATCAAGTTCAAGTTCATGTGCGTCTGAGTCTGCAGGCATTCGAGGGAGTTGGGACTGTCTGTGGCCGCCCTGGAGTAAAAGAGGAGGGGAGGGGGGGGAGGAGGGGGGGAGGAGGACATAACCTTTGACCTCTCTAAGGGTTGATACGGGAAAGAGGCCAATCGGTTCAGTAATGTGAGATTGAAAAGGCCAAATTGTCAGAGCTGTCCGGCAGACGTCAAAAACACACACACACACACACACACACACACACACACACACACACACACACACACACACACACACAGAGGCAATATTAGTTCAGAGAGAAAGGGAGTGATTTCACCCTGCCTTTAGAGTTTGATCCTCTTCCTCTCTGGACCTCTCGTTGATGCTGCAACTCGTCTCCCTTCCTGGGATTTTGTTATCTGACGAAGTTATTCCTCCTAAACTAGCTTAAATGTTCATTCTCATCCAGAATATGGCTGATAGGATGTCCGTGCATGTAGAAATATTCAAACACAAATGATTGAATTCACAGCATTTCACAGTGCATATTCATCTCTTTGATCACTGACATGTTGCAAGGTATAGTTATAAAATCCGTGGCTGCATTCCTACGTAATATTTTCCGTGGGCGTTTGATGTTTGAGTCATTGCGTGTCAGGATGCAAATCTGCGGTTTGTAATGTGCGCACGTTCTACGGCCCCCTCAGCAGAAGTGTGGCCTCATTTAAGGTTTGCATTCACACCGGGAGAAGGGGTCCGGCAAATAAAAGAGCGCCCATTTGCATACGCTGCATGCCGTCTGCAGAGAGAGGGAGCAGGCGAAGAAAGATATCAGAGGTGGACAAAGAGAGGGAGGACAAATCCTTCATTGTGGGCTTGGTGGGAGAAAGGGCTCATCTGAATCGGGGAGTGGGTGAAAATTGACAGAGAAAGAGTTTGCGCCGGTCCCCTGCGGGGATAAAAGCGTTAAGCGTTAAAGCCTGAAAATGGAGGAGAAGAACAACATGCAGAACTCGGGGGGCTTTTTTTTTTACCAGTGCATAAAAAGGAAGTTTATTTTCAGAAATGTTTCCTGCTACGTTTAATGTAAAAATAAAATAAAATAATCATGCACAACAATTTTTCTGTTGTCAAAATAAAAGTCCAAATGTTTAGGTAAAAGCAAGGAGCTCTTAATGTGAAGAGCTTTCACTTCATTTTAGATTTGTTTCCCGCAATATTTTTTTTTACTGTAAATTTTTGCTGTTTAATGAAACCTCTTCTTCTAAGTGAATAAAAACTGTTTTAAATTTTTATTTATGTTTGAACAACTAGGAAGCGTCCTGAGGAGTTTAAGTTTGATTCACATGCAAATCACCCTCTCCTTTTTTTCCACTCTGCAGAAACCCTGATCATCTCTGAGGACCAACACTCAACAAACCTCCTCACCAGACGGACGGGACTGAACAGATTAGGAGATTATTTTGCACGATGAAAATGCACAAATTAAGATGTATCATCCCTGAACTTCAAATGCTGCAAAACATGAACATTTAGTTGCATAACTTTAGATAAAAACTCAACAAAGCCTCCATGTTGTTCTTGTGTTTTGTGTGTCTGGATTAGATTTTCCCACTTTTGTGCTAAAAACATGTTGTCAGATGTCATAAAGTTTCCTCCTTTTGTTTATTTTCATAAAAACAAACAACATGATATTGTTATTTCTGTGTTTAACTTATTTCTAAGCCCTATTAAGTCAAAAATAACAGCTTAGTATTTATATGCTGTGTGACTGAGATAGCAAAAATTATTATTTTATTGAGAAAAAAAAAAGGATTTTTTAAATGATATCTTGGGTTTGTGGTTTGAAAAAGACAACGTTGGTTATTCAGGACCTGCTTTCTTTTTCCACATGAGGGGATTCACATGGTAATGTGTGTGAAGGGGATGTGAGAACGCGTTTGAGTGACCCCTCATTAAGTTTTAATTAGAAGGAGCAGACAGAGCAACGTGCGCTGAATCGCTGAGGCGAAGAGAAGTTCATCCCAGAATCACTCCTAAAACACACAAACTGGTAGTTTTCAGGTTTTAGTTTAGTGACAAGTGTTTATTTGGGATTTAAACCCATGATTGTGTTTGAACGTGTTAAATGTGTCAGCTCACAGCAGGTTCTGATGATTAGTTTTGGGATTACACGCCGTCCTGCAGGTCACTCGGACCCTAGCTGACTGATCCGTGTCCAGAGTCAAACAGCAGATGGACACACGCTCCGGGTCAAAGGGGGATTATCACTGTCTGTTTGTGTCGAAACAAGCAAAACACTCAGAAGGGACAGAAATCAGATATTTGTCATGATTGATGACAAAAAATAAGACATTTATTCACAATAAAAGCATATTATGACTTGTTTTTGGAGAATAATATGCAATTCTCTTTGTTTAATCAAAATTGAGAAGAATATGAACAGATATCATGCAAATTTTCTATTTTTCCATGATTTTTCTCCAACTCAAATGTAGCGGGAACATTTTTCATCCGTTTTTACAACACTTGTTTTATTTTGAAATCTGAGATAAAAGTTTAAAATTAAAGGTAAAAACTGTATGAGGTCTAAATCTGACACATTCTGAGCCGACGTGCATCACGAATAAAGATAAATAACAGGTGGATTTTTAAAACATGCACTATAGTTTTCTCCTCAAATCTGAAATTGGTGCAGGATCCCCTCCCGGTGGGAGTCGGCATGTTTTCCATCCATCTCAGCGGCACAGCGGCTGATTCTGGTGATTAGATCCTCTCTGGATGAAGGGAAACCAATTAATGGCATCAGCCTGTGTGTAGAGCCTGGCCAGCAAGAAAACACTCTGTGCGACTTTTATTTTAAATAAAAGTTGTTGGTTTGAACATTTTCAAAAAACATGTTTCCATCTTCGGCAAACATCAAAGCTCCACAAGCTCCAGCCTCCCATCATCCTCAGAGCTAATTGGGATGAACATAGGGTGGTTTTTTTTATGAGTGTCTTGTTGAAATGGGGCAGCCGGTCAGGGACCTGTTGGTGAAGTCTCTGGTCGGTAGGAGGTCAGGGGTCACGGTGCGGACTTCTCCCCAGAGGACAATAAACAGGGCCGGAGGGTCAGATGCACTCTGGGACACGGGCGGGGGTCAAGGGCGCCTAATTAAGTGGCTATTTCCTGCTTTTCCCAAGTGACTGCTGGACTCAGAAACAGAGTCATAAAAGAAGGTCAAAATAGATTTAATACATTTTAAACTTTTATACGAGTAAAAATAAGCAACTGTTTGTATTAAAATCAACTTTAAGGAAGAATGAAGATGAACGAGGAAGGGCTTGAGCTCATTTGCAAACATTTTGGAGGGAAAGATGGCATCACAGGAGCCGTTTACGTCAACCATGGTTCCTGTTTGCATAAGAATGGAGATGGGGCCCTGAACTCCTCTGACCCTGACCCCTCTCTCCCGGGATGTGAATAGCATCACTCAAGAGCTGCTTGGCAGCATTTCAGTCAGACCTGAGGCTCACCATCGCCTATGCTTCTAATCAGGTTGATTTAATGCATCCTGCAGGTCCTTTCTCTTGTCACCGCTGCAGCTTCAGAGGAGTCACTCAATCCCGCTTCTGGACCTCCTCCACTCTTGGTTTGGAACAACTGGGAGACTCCCCAAGCTCTATAGGGTCTTATTGTAACCACTTGTTCTTCCTGCATGGAGATGATGCCTAATTAAGCTTAATTTGGATTTTTCTGAATAAGAATTAAATGAAAACATACAAGAAGTGAAAACAATCAGATTGCTTCATGACAGCTTGGAGATTTCAGTTGTGGAGAAGGTTTTAATCTAATGGTGAAGCAGCCTTCCAGTTCCTGCAAATTCATGGGCCACGTGGCAGGTCCAATTGGCCTTTTGGATCATTGTCTTTTTCAAACATCCATACGCCGCTTTGGGCAGATCAGTGTGAATTCTCCTCCAGTATTTTTGATAAGTATGTCTGGGTCTTGTTCACGAGTGAGGGAAAGATGGAAGGTGAGATCGGCAGGCGGATTGGTGCTCTGCAATGATGGAGCATTGTACCGGTCTGTTGAAGAGAGAAGGTGAAGCTCTCGATTTACCGGTCGATCTACGTTGCAACCCTCATCTATGGTCACGAACTTTGGGTAGTAACCGAAAGAATGAGATCACTTATAAGCAGCCAAAGGGAATTTTCTCCACAGGGTGTCTGGGCTCTCCTTGAGAGATAGGGTGAGATGCTCTGACATCTGTGAGGGGCTCGGAGCAGACCCGCTGCTTCTCCATATCAAGAGGAGACGGTTGAGGTGGCTTGGGCATCTGGTCAGGACATGGACGTAATTTTCACTTTAGAAGTGTGTGTGTGTGTGTGTGTGGGGGGGGGGGGGTATCTTTACAGTATTTTCTAATGGGACACAGGCTTCAACACAAACGGTTGTTTTCTGCTTGGTCCTAGAGCTCAACCAGTGTCAATTTAATATAGCGTAACATTGTTTTTGGATGGTAAAAAGTGCAGGGGTCAAAACTTGACTTTGGAAAAAGTGTGTGTGTAGGGGGGGGGGGGGGGGGGGAAGGGGGCGTCCATGGGTCAGGATGCCTCCCTGGTGAGGTTTTACCGGCACGTCCAACTGGGAGGAGACCTAAAGGAAGGCACAGGACACGCTGGGGGGGGGACTATGTTGGCCAGGGAAAGCCTTAGGATTCCCCCGGAGGAGCTGGCCCAGGTGGCCCATGGGGAGAGGGAAGTCTGGGCCTCTGCTGAGGCTACTGCCCTCGTGACCCCACCTCGGATAAGTGGAGGAGAATGGATAGATGCTGCATTCATCAGTTTTGACCATGGTTCCCACTGCTTTGCCAACTTACACAAAACATCAGAGAACCTCGTCCATATTTCTTCATCATAAGCCACCTTGTTGACTCCTCTCTAAATATGAAGTTTATGTTTGTGGCCAACAGGTTTAATTTAAATGCTGATGCTAGTCTCGGTGCTGTTTGGCATAGCCAGATTCTTCGTGGCAATGACTGACAACTCAGCCTTGTAGCCCATTTATCTTCAAGAGCATCCTTGTTGTGCTTTTTCAAAGCACCACACCACTTTTAAGACTCTTGAAATTCAGCAGAAGATAATAAGAATTTTTCTGCAAGTTGTTGCATACATTTTCTGCTGGTTTCAACAGAACCCTCAACTTTACACTTCTTTATCAGAGTTCTAACCCGGCTGATATCCTTTTATATCCATTTCCTGTTTAATATAGTTCAATCACCTTTTCTGTAGATTCTGTGACGATTCTTTGCTTTCCAACAACTCAGAAACTAGAAATGTCAATGCAGCTCTGGATGGAAGATGCGAGGGTTTGTCAGGAGCCTATAAACTCACACACCTTTTATAATCACACACTGATGGCAAGGAAACAGGTGACAGGTGAGGATGGTTTCAATTGTGTCAAGTTGAGCATGTTTCAGGCCAACGGGGTTGTGAATACTTTCGACAAGGTTGTTTTGATATTTGATTTAGTTGTGGTGACTTGAAATGAGTTCACACATTTTTTCACAATAAATGGCTTCACAACATCTTGAGTGAAACTAGGTTTTGCTGTTTGAGAGATGGACAGAAAATGAATAAATAAAAATAAAATCCTGTAATAAACCAAAAAATTCAAAATAATATGGGTAAAAAATGTATCTTTCAACATAAATGTTCACTTATTTTACTTTTGTTCTCTGATGTTTTTCTGTTCAGTTATGAAGTTTTGTTTCTAACGTGAAAACTTTTCTTTTTGTTTTCTTTAAACACATTTCAAGAGCTCATTTCAGCTGTTTTATTATTTTTTCCTGCTTTCATCATCTGTTATCCATTTATTTACAATATCTGAGGAAATTTGTGCCTTTTTTTATGAAACCGATTAAACTTTATTGAAAAGAACAGTGTAAAATCACCACTAGGGAATTTTGCTATTGAGCAAAGGCCCAATTATGCCGGTTTTTATCGTCATTAATAGAGATCGGTATGATTGTTCAACCATCTCTTCCGTAGCGGCGCGTGCCCCCTCTCGTTCATTCTCACGGTTAATAAACGATCTTTAGAACAAACTTGTTTCAGTCTGTTGATCAAAGTAAAAACCGGGAAGTACATTTTCTAAAATCTTTAATTTGGCCAACAGGTTGTTTAGTATATTATAATAAGAAAAAGAGCGAAAAGTTTTTGAAACGTCCTCAATCTTTTTTTATAAGTCTAAAGGCGCGTGCGACACATTTTCATTGATGCGTCACAAGAACTGAAACCTGAACGTTCCTTATTTTAAAAATCTTTGAAGCAGACAAAAGTCTTCAAGTGGCGACAGTTTGTTATCCAGAGGCGTTTGGAAAAAAACAAAACAAAACGAAAATCCAAGAATTAAATCAAGAAACTATAGGTCGATAAATCCCCCTCATCACAGTCAGGCTACTCAACATTTACACACACACACACACACACACACACACACACACACACATATATATATATATATATATATATATATATATATATATATATATATATATATATATGTATATGCAACGTGTTTTTTCCT